TTTCTTTCGCGATCTCTTCTTCTGATACCCCTTTCAGTGCCGATCTCTCGCGGCCCACCGCCGCTGGCGTAACTTTTTGAGCTACTCGCTTGTGTCGCTTGGGGAGCCTCCCATAGGGGGCCGTGCCCTTAAAAAAGACACAGATACCACACCGCCAAATTCCTCATCTTTTTCCTTCGGGTACGAGTTGCCGTCCACTATTAGCCGACTCCCTAAGTCTTCTACCTCCACCACCCGACCTTCTTCTTCTGTGAGCAGTGGTCCATATTTCTTCTCGCGAAATCGCACCGAGCGGCTGGAGATAGGCAACGACTCAATCTGATCACTGGGGCTTGCACCCACAGTGAGAGCTGCTCTGTTCCTCGGGTCCCGAGGCTCCACTGTCTCAATCATTACCCGCGTCCCGTCTGACTTCTTAATGGATAATGTTTGGCTCCCATCAGGTCGCTCTATCGTCACCGCATGCACGTGGCTCAACCACGTTCGACCCAAGAGCAGGTCGGAGCTGCAGTTCTTGACTGCAAAGACAGGCAGGGTCACTCGTACCCCTTGGACCTCTATGGCTGCCTTGTGACAAACCCCAGTGATCTGTTGCTTTCTCCCTTCAGCCGTCTCTATCTCGAATAGGTATGACCTATCGAGGCCCAGTCCAACTTGTACCGCCAGGTCCTCGTCTATGATGACAGTCTCACTGCCGTTATCAATCACAGCATCGAGTACCTCTCCATCGTTTATAATCGTCTCTACGGCCCCGCTACCAAGTATATAAAACTTGTCTGTAAGCACACCTTCCATTCCATCGAGAAGGAGTGTCGTCATGCGATCCGCTCTAGCAGTCATCCCCGTTACTGCTACCGTAGAAGCTTCAGCCTTAAGGGCCCCCTGACCCTCCTCCGATAGAGGTATGCGAGTCTTCCGCGTGATTATCTGTAACTCATCACGAGCTGGCTTCGATGCCGCCAGGTACTCCAGAATAGAGCACTGCATGGGTTGCCGAAGAGCGCGCCTCAGTGGCTCAACCGTGTCAATCTGGTCCAGCGAACTCTTCATTAAGAACTTCTTCACTCCCCTCTTTCGTGGCGAAAGGATAACCTCCTCTCCATCGATCCGCTGCCCGTCCTTCTCCGTCATCACGTAATCCGTGTCAGTCTTTTTCGATGTAGACCCTCTTGCTGACTTGGTGGCTTCCACCCTTATGGGTGTGGTCGCGATATCCCTCTCAAAGATTATCTTGATGCTCTGGCTCTTGACCGGGTCCATTCCTTTACTCGTCTTTATTCTCCTTGCTTCGACATTCTCCTTCATCGAAGGGAACATCGATACATCTCCTAGATCATCTGCCCACTTGACGTACTTGCGGTCGTCAAGCACGACAAGTCCCTCATCTATTGTCCGCTTGAGGTCCGGACAATCCCTCTTGATATGATTTTCTCCTCTACAGTAGACGCATGAGTTCCTGGGAGAAGATGCCCTGTCGTCTGCGCCTCTAGAGATCGAATTCCTGGCCGCCTTAGGGTCAGGCGACTTCGAATATGGTTCTGATGAGACGCCATATCCCCCTCTCTCATTCCGACCGCGCGATTCGTTGCGCCGGTCTCCTCCAGAATCTCCTTGCTCATACCGCCCTCGCGGTCCCCCGAGTCATATCGTCCTCGTGACTCATCGCGTCGATCCCCTCGGTTGTACCACCCCCGCGACTCGTCGCGCTGCTCTCTCGCATCTCCCCCACGCTCAAACCGTCCGCGCGACCCATCTTGTTGTCCCCAGTCCCGATCTCCTCTTTCATATTTACTTCCTCTGTAGCCATCTCGATCCGACCTCTCGTATCTGTCGTCCCTATATCCATCTCGATCCGGTCTCTCGTATCTGTCGTCCCTCTCCCATTTGCCGCGGGAGTCGCTTCTGCCCCGATCAGCCTCATAGCGAGGGCTTCGGGGGTAATC